AACAGTATACATTTTTTTTTCCCAAGGAATATTACAAAGAGGTGCAAAGATATGAGATGGAAGCTAGCAGGGAAAATAGGGAGGCAGTTGGGATATTAGAAGAAACAAGGCCCTCCCTGTGGTGCAAGGGGTTCTAGTGCAGCACTATGGAACTATCTGCAGCCACTGCTGCACAGTACAAGTTCCATCCCCAACCAGGGAGCAGACCCACATGGTGCAGGCAGACCTCTCCTGGCCTGCCCGCTGCTCCCTTCAGCAGTGTTTCAGTCAATCTGCCTGTTCTGCTTCCCACTGTCTCTGGTGAAACCTTTCAAGCCCTGCACTGGCTTAAACCCCAGTTCTTGCATGCATAAGTAAATCTTTAAAATAACAACAGTAAGTTGCTGGGGGTGACACAGGAGAATGCACTTAACTGATAGGTGAGCTTGTAGGCCAGGTGTGCTTTTTCCAGCTCAGATAAAAAATCTAATTCTGTCACTCAATAGATAGGGTATGTGCACTGACCTTGGCTCTGCTCAGCAGTGCATGTGGCTAGTAGGCAAAACCCTCTGTCTGCTGCTGAAAAAGTGGCTAATAGTCACTACATAGTAGCCTCTGGCCTATCTCAGGTGTTGACTAAGTGCTATTGTGTTGGATTTGGGGAGGACTTGACCTTCCTGCCAGGTTAGCTCACATACTGAAAGGTCAGATTAAATCCTGTCATTCTCAGAATGCATAATTAAGATGCTTCCATCTTCACTTTTGATTACAATATTTTGTTTGTGGAAACTATTTCAGCATAAAACATGCCCCGTCTTCCCACACACTTTTGGCATAATTAAAAAGACAAAATTTGGCATGTGGATGGAAAGAATAAACATTACTCATTGTTTTCATTTTTACTCTATTACATTTGTCTTTTTTTTTTTGCCCCCTGATCCCTTATGCTCTGCTATGAGTGAAACCATCCGGTATTTTTCTTTTTCTTTCTGGCTTATTTTACTAAGCATGATCCCTTCCGGCTCCATCCACATTGCTCCAAAAGGCATGAGTTTATCTTTTTTCACTGGACATTTTACAGAGATGGAAAGAGGAATGGGTCAGAACTGGGGTGGGAAGAGAGCACTGGATTTGTGGTGGTGGCACATGGTTGAATTGGTGGTGGGAAGCCCATAGGGATTACAACTGAGACGAAAAAATGCACAAAATGAGGAATGATGTAAAAAAAATAAACATTACTCTGGTTGCCTTAAAAGCAGCACCAGAGGAGGGACAGGTGTCGGGTTTTCTGACTGGTATATATAAGTCTAAGAAATTTGTTGTTCTCCTTTTCAATGTGTGCATCACTGAACTAAAGTATGAACATTCTATCAATTTGTTTTTTTGTTTGTTACTGAGAGACAGTGATTTTTTATGCTGAGAAATTCTTTGTAAATTCTGCCAAAGGGCTGTGCAATGGGCATAGCCTTTGGGAGTAGGGCACCTTTCCTTTTCCCTTTCTATACTTTATTGGAAAAGTATGGATAAAATCAGATGATTAGCCAGCTATTTTAAACAAGCTACCTTCTGAAGGCAACAGATATCACACAGTGAATTATAAACCAGTGTTTAACTTTGTTTTCTATGAAATAGTTTATTTTACTGTTTACTATGGCTACAAATGCAAATCTACTAAGAACACAAAGGACTAATTTTGAAACACTGCAGAAAATAGCTTGAAGGATTGAGAAGCTAGAGAACAGCATAGCATTTACATTTGCTTATCCCCCACCTTGTATCTTAAAACACCAAGGCACTTAATCCAAAATGGTTAAAGGAGTGTGGAAATCTAAAATGATACATACCCGAGGTATAAAATAAAGTCCTTGAATTTTCTTAGTTTGATTTCTGACATTTTTAAGCCTTAAAATATTTAAGATGATTTAACCTCAGGACCTCTTTATTTTAAAGATTTTATTTATGCATACAGAACTGGGGTATAGGCCAGAGGTGCAGAGGTGGTGATTCACCAGAGACAGAGTGGGGCTGGATTGACAAGTACACTGCTGAGGGGAGCAGTGGCGGGTCAGGAGAGATCTGCCGTGTGTGTGTGTGTGTGTGTGTGTGTGTGTGTGTGGAGAGATCTGCCGTGTGTGTGTGTGTGTGTGTGTGTGTGTAATCAAACTTGCACTGAAATGGCTGCAGGTAGCTTGCAGTGCTGGGCTTTAACCCATTGCGCCACCAGGGAGGGCCCTCAATATGTTTTGAAATGGAAAGAACCTAATGAAATACTGGACTCAGAATTCCTATCCCCAGTTAGCCTAAGAGAACATTACTATCTCCCCGTAAAGGCCGAAGATCTCACTGCCTTGTCAATCACGTCATCCCTTCAGCAAATGCTCATTTATATACTATTTCACACTGTCTGATTCCCGGACACACTGACTCAGCAAATGCCAGGTACACAACTCTGTTGGGTACTGTGGAGATCCAGAATGTCTTCATGTATTTTGTGTTTTCACATTTATCTCCTTTAGTTGGGTCAGTCGTGATGTCCTTTCAATTCCTATTGACTTATTCCAAGCAGTTGCTCTGAATAAAACAGGAGCTGGGGATAAGAGTTTGTCTCTCTTATTTTTTGTTCTTTCTGGAAATCAAGTAGAATAAGACCACCAGTGGATGTACAGACCCAAAGACCCAATCTAGACATCAGGCTAAGCAATTTGTCCAGAACTGGCGGGGAGTGGGGGGGGAGCGATGACCAGGAAGTAAGGTACTTTCAACTCCTGTAACCTACAGGTGGCAACTTCCTGCACAAATAGAAGCCTTGCACTGCATTCTAGAAAAATGTTTAAGTGCTTTCAACTGATTCATACTATTGCTCCCCACTCATAGAAAAACTGATTTCAATCATGTTCCATGTGAAAAACACTTAGGACAACTGTTTTGTCTTATTAGTCTTAATGATACTCTGTCCCCATACAATTAAGGCCCCCTAATGGCACTCATTCTCAACATGAAAAGACAATTCTTGCATATTCCAGTCATAGTATGTAGGACAGATGTAGATACAGAATCTGGGTGGGCAATGATGCTGAACAGGGCACTGAGCATGTCTGAGTGTACTGACCACGAGAATCTCAACTTCTTTTTGTTCTTAAACTTCTCAGAATGCATATATCCTCATTATGATACAGGCTACACAGGCCTGAAAGATGCCAGTTTTTGCTGACAGATACTGAAATTATTTTTTAAAGCAGAGTTAGTGCATAGAAAGGCAATACGAGTAATCTACAAGAGCAGTAGCAGGCTATTTCTATATCTGATCTGAACAAACTATTCTTTGTCCATTTTAAATAATGTCCATTTTCAATACTAGACTTTAGCCAAAGAAATATCAAAGTTGATAAAACCAGGGACAATATACAATGAGTTTTCTTAGGATCGAGGAGACAAAGCTCACATATATTGCTGGGTTATGATCAGGTGGTGTTAAATAATCAGTATTATCACAAAATTGTTGCAATGCAACAAGCTTTTGTAAGTAAACATGAATCATGCGGGTCTATTTCAGGCATTATAAATAAAAATACAACCTGATTTCACAGGGTATCAACTAATATTTACAAGGCTACTTGAATTTTTCTGTTGAAATTTTTCTTAATCGTTAAATAATAGTTTTGATGGTGGTAATACTTCATGTTTCAAGGTGGTGAGCTGAATGAACTGAATAAGAAAAACAATGATTAAGGGAGGGAAGATAGGCCTGACACAAAACTGAAAAACATAAAAATAGGAAATCAGAAAAATCTGATTTAAGAAGGCTCATCACTCCAAGGTTTCCATACTAAAGTCATACACATGCCAGCCACTTTAAGGGTCTCAGGATTAATCAAAACCAAAGGAAATGATAAAATGTGAACTAAAGTCACCAAGATTGGAAAGCACCAGCGAGTGACAGACACATCTACCACCAGCATTCTCAGCTGCAATGCATTTAAGTACAAAGAACTACCTGTGTATACTGCCATATAAATACTTCCACTTATGATATTTAATTTTTATCTCTCATTTTTAAAAAGTGGCCTATCTTATTAAAACAGAGGAAATATGGATTCCTTTTGATAATTAATCACCTTTTCTGATATCACAGAAAAAAACAATTTCTATACCATGTAGTAGAAAATTAACTGAGTACAGTTTCAATCCCGAGGACATACATACCTATGTTATGATTACTATTCTGTCTACTCAGATAGTCTTCATTGTTGACCTATACTAACTACTGATGTTCTAAAAATTTCCTGAGTATTTTACTTTGCTAAAGGATTTATTAAGCTATTTATGTTAGTGTACAAACTGTCGTTTACATTTACAAACAGACAACATGGAGTATTAAAGAATTTTAACCTTTCTAATTGCTAAACTTTATAGTTTGCAAAAAACATTTAAATTAAGATCTTCATCACTTGTAGTTCTTGGGTATCTCAAGCTGCTTTTTCTCCTTGCCTTTAAATTTTTTTCCAACCTATACAGAACATTTTTGCCTTTTAGTACTTTTTTTTTTTAAGATTTATTTATGCATATAGAAGTGGGGGGCAGGCCAGCAGTGCAGGGATCATGAGTGGATTCACCCGACACAGAGTGGGGAGCAGAACAGGTGGTTTGATGAAGTACACTGCTGAGGGGAGCAGCAGGTGGGTGAGCCAGGAGAGGTCTGCCGCACCATGTGGATCAGGGATCAAACTTGTACTGAAGTGGCTGCAGCCAGCTTGCAGTGCTGTGCTTTAACCAGCTGTGCCTACTTAGTATTAACCCTGTTTTAAAAAAAAACACTCCCCCAGATACACTTCAAATTAAAGTGACCAAGGATAAAACTGTATACATAATCTTTTTTTCCTATTTAAATTAACAGTATAGATATATACTGATATTCAAATTTACATACCTATTCTGTATGTAGGTGTGTGTATGTATGTGTATATATAGGTTACATATATAATCAAGATGCCCATGTGCACAAGTTTTTACAGAATCTCCAGTTTTATTAAAACTTACTCCTCACACACATTGGAGGACTATTTTCACTTTGACTTGTTTTAAACAACACAAGGAGGTTGGCACATTTTAAAAGTAACACACTTTATTATAAAAAAGAGTAACAGTGACTCCTAGCATCTGATAACGGACTGATGAAGACAGATTAGTTTGCTAATTTGACACTTGATTGTGCAACATGCATCTCCCAGGGGATGATCAGGGAATGCAAAAAGCGCAAATTCTAAGCAGATGATTGTTGCTGTCTTTAGTCCTTTGGGTAAAAAGTTAGTTGAAGTAAATGGGAGTAAGTCACCTGTGGATTTCATTTATTCAGACAGGGTTGGTCCATCTTTGTCAGAAGCTAATTACAAACAGCTACATGATTTGTAGCTATATATTGCTCATTTCAAAACACTCCAGTGACATCCAATAATTTTATTATCTCCAGTGTTAAGGTGCAGTATTATGCTTTTCACACTATTTAAATATCTCATTTCCATAATCTAAATGCCAGAAAATTAGTACATTCCTTTATACAGTGAAAAATAGGTTTGCTGGAATGTTTAGTTATAGCTGAAGGTAGCAACATTTACAACATTTAGCTTTGTTACATCCATAAATATGTGGAATCTGTTTGCAAAACAATTGAAGAATCTTGCAAATACTGCCAGAATGATTGTGCATCTTTTTAGCATAATGACTTATATTTTACACAGATCTGCTGACTGCTAGAATGACCTCACCTTAATGCAATAATGCAAGTCGTTAGGCCATTAAAATCACATTATGAAATATCAACCTTTATATACACAAATAATGTACACAAATAATGAACTGGCAAGTATCTAGTTTCAAATTAGATCCTTGGAAGATGGCAAATATAGAGGCTGGTTATCTTTGCCTTAAACATAATGATTAAAAGCACATTTTGTTAGAAAGGAAGAAGATAAATGGATATTCTCAATGTTCTAATTTGAAGTGATACTTGCCTCTTATTTTCTTGAAAAATTTTTTGAAAGTTATATACATACGTTTCATTTAAATTACGCAGCAATCTTTTATTGTCCCAGATTTTGTTTAATGAAGATCTGTCATTGACTCAACTCAATGGTATCTCACAACTATAAGAACTGCAAGATAAGAAAAAATCAAAATCAGATCCTATTCATTCATATTCTATGTTAGAAGTATATTCCTACTTGGAAATGAAAAATGAGGACTGAACTTTTGAGATAGTGGATAACAAATGGAAATGGAAAAACAAATGTATCATTAAATAACCTATGTCCATAAAATTAGCATTCTAGTCAAACAGATTACTGCAAAAACCCTAGCATACACTTGGTAAAATACTTAATAGCATGGGGAAATAATCACATAAGTATCTTAGTTTTTATTAGAAAGTATATTTTTCCCTATCAATTATATTAATAGTAACCATCTGTGTGTGGTAATATTATGGTTGAATTATGTCTTTACACTATTCCACATTTTCATATTTCCATGTAAATATAATGGTTGTTTCTTGTTTGTAAAAGTTATATTCTATGAAAGGACTGCAAACAATGAATTGGTGACTACTGAAACACTATCCCTAGGGAAAACCAGGTTAAATTCTTGTGTATCTCTGGCTAGCCTTGTTTATGTATTTCTGTCTAAAGGGATATTTAATATATACTGCTGATTCATTAACACTGAACTCACAGCCAGCAAAACTATAACTCATGCCTTTAGTGAAGCTTATCGTGTACTTTTTCCAAAAGGCACATCATTGCCTTCTTGTGCTAGCAACACTCAACTCAATGGAGCACTTCAGGATTACTAGGGGTCATTTTAAATAATGAAATCATCAATAAAATGCTTAAAGATGAGAGAAATATGTCACTAAGTAGACTATGAAGGACACTTGATTTTATGTGAACCGAAACTAGAAGGTAGACCATGGTTTCACTGGACATTCGCAGCTTGTATGCCATGAACACTCACATGGCTGCAAAACCACTGAATCCTAGTCAGTGCTATCCACAGGTGAAGCCACAAACACAGAATCCACAAAACACTTTTTCTGTTGAAAAATTCTCTGGTTATATTCTTTCTAAAATGGTTATTTTGGGACACTTTCTCAATTTTCACAAAGGAGCACGCTTCACATGGAGCACAGGAGGCATTAAAAGTGAACTGACTTTTAAGTAAATATTAAAGGACAAGAGTTTATGCTTTAATGGAGACTGAAATCAGAATATAAAACAAAACAAACTTGAGAATTTCTAGTTTGTCCTTCATATACAGTAACATGAAACGCAAGCACCTATACTGAAAGTTAACAATAAGTAGAAAATAAGTGTAAAGGTCTGGCGTAAATAGTCCTGTAGATGGAGATAGGGGACTGAATGAAATTCTGAGAGAATCTGATAAGATATACAGACTCTCCCCCCCCCATATAAAAATACATATGCTCTACAGATCCTAGGTTCTGAGTTAGTTCAGAAGTCATTGCCCAATCCTAACTCGACAAACGAGAACCCACCCTGACAGTAATCAGGTAAAGACTTACCGATAATCACTAGCAAAAGGATAACAGCAACCAAAGCCATGATGGCTTTTATCTGCAACACACAAAAAGGCAAGAAAGATATTAATGTCACACTTATGTTGCTTACTGCATTATAATTCCTCAATAAACAGGCTCATTTCTTGAAAGGTTTTCCATTTTTTTCTCATGAACATGCAGAGTTCTCCAAATTCAATGGGTGCTTGGTTGGACTTGGTTGTTCAAACTTGTACTGTACAGCAAACAGTAAGAAGGAGTCTCCATAGACCTAGACTTTTCAGTCTGGGATTTCTCATGCTTATTTCTACTGAGACCTTTGGTTAAGTATTTTAGCAACCATTCAACAGTTGTTCATAACATTGATATCTGATACAAATGGATTTTTTTTAAACCATTCTCAAAGTGCATGAAAATTGTTTATTTTCTTGGTATTTTATTCTCTTTAGAAATAGTAAGATTCTTCATGAATAACCTTATTTAGTAAGTTGCGTAGGAGCAAGTGTGTCTACTTCAAAGAGGAGAAATATTAAGATTAATGCTATTTAATAGTTTAAGCTTATGTTACATAAAACTCATATTTACCTAAAATGCATAAATAACTGATTTCATGTTTTTATGAATTCAGTAAAGTGTTTTCATAAGTGATTAAAGATGGCTCTTTCAGAAAGTTACCAGTTATTATAAACAGATGAGTATCACAAATAGTAACCACAGTAACTAGTGAAACATTTCCAAAATGGAACTACTGGAGACATTCTACTGGCATATTTATGACCGTAACAAGAAAATGCATGGAAACCTCCTAATTAGGACACCAATGCCTGTTAAAGATAACCCAAAATGTAGAAACAGATGCAGTGGATTATATAGGAGGTACATTTTCCATTTTCAGTAGTTATATGGGTTCACATTATACTACAAATTGAAATACAGTAGCTTTTTTTTTTTTTTTAAAGATTTATTTATTCATACAGAACTGGGGTACAGGCCAGAGATGCGGAGGGTGAGAGGATTCACCAGGGACAGAGTGGGGAGCAGAACAAGCAGATCGACGGAGTACACTGCTGAGGGGAGCAAGCGGGTGGGTCAGGAGAGGTCTGCCTCGCCATGTGGATCTCCTCCGGGGCAGGCTGGGATCGAACTCATGCATTAAGTGGCTTAAGCTTCTTAGTGCAGTGCTTTAACCCGCTGCGCCACCAGGGAGGGCCCTACAGTAGCTTCTTATTGCATTTTATTCAACATCATTATATGCTGATGAGAAAAAAATTAATTCCTCGCCAGGGTCAATTTTGTGGTTTGCCACTCTTGACAGCAGGTTTTCCCTAGGTACTCTGGTTCTTTCCCAAGTTCCAAAGATGCACACATTTGGTTCAGGGGCATGTCTAAGCTGTCCCAGCCTGAGTATGTCTGTGCATGTGCCCTGTGATGGAAGGGTGTCCTGACAAGGGGGCTTCTCAATTTGTGCCCTGAACTGGAATAAGTGGACTCTAAAATGAATGAATGAATATAAATGTTTGGGTCTTTGAATGTTATTGTGAGCAGAAAAATGTTCCAAGAGCTTAACTTTTGTTTATATCAATTACCCAATGGTCAGCTGGTTTAATTACTTAGTCAGGCATTGCTTGAGGATGTTTTGACTATAATGAACCACACACAATGTTGGTCACAACAGGTTACATCATATAGACTCGGTCTACAGGAGGCTGAACCACACATCCACATGTGCTTATAAAATTACATGTAACATTCACATGATAAATCAACTAATGACATGTTTCTCAAAATTTATCCTTCGTAAGTGGTGTGTGACTAATGTTACAAAATGAAATTGCAGTTTCCAAGAACCTATTGGCATGCTGAGGACTTAAAATATGATTTTAGTGACATAGGTATATGGAAGCTTTACATGCTTTTAAACTGAAAGCATTATTAAAGTAACTGGGAAACTTACATTAATTTTTCAACTTTACCCAAAACGTTAATCTAAAATTTAAATGGAAATAGCAGAGTCAATTTTTAAACATTTCACTAATTTTCTTCACTAGATTCCTAACAATGGCCAGAAAACATTTTTAAACAAAAAATGGCAGTAATGTATTTCTGCATGTCCAAAATTCTCTTCCAAATGACAATCTGTAAAGAGCCTCAGAAGTACTTAAAGTTGGATTAACGATACACTTTAAAAAAGGCCAATTTTATTCTATATAAAATGCATTTTGATGAGTGTTAACAGCTACACAGTGGACAACAACCTTGATCACACTTGAACATGAAATTTCATCACTTTAAAAGTCCTTGCACTGGCCCTCCCTGGTGGTGCATCGGGTTAAAGCACAGCACTAAGAAGCTTAAGTCACTTCCACATGAGTTCGATCTCTACCTGCCCCTGGAGGAGACCCATATGGGGAGGCAGACCTCTCCTTGACTGCCCGCTGCCCCCCTCAGCAGTGTACTTCGTCGATCTACCTGTTTTGCTCCCCACTCTGTCTCTGGTGAATCCTCTCACCTTCCGTATCTCTGGCCTGTACCCCAGTTCTGTATGAATAAATAATTCTTTTAAAAAAGTCCCTGCACATTCTGTTAGTCAATCTCCACCCCCAGGTAACCTCTGACCTGTTTTCTGTCCCTAAATCTCTTAAAAGCTCTTCCTAAAAATACAATTTAAAAACAATTGTTTTCTTTTAAAGCATACAATTCCTCTGCACTGAACTCAATAAACCACAATCAAAATCTTTAGATAGTGCTAAAAATACTAGGTAAAAGGTACTTACTGATCATCTTTTTGTGGCTACACGTACCTTTGTTCTTCCAAACTAATCTAAATAGACAATTCTGACAACTAGAAAAATTTAGAATATTTACATTCCTTTACATACATAAAGGAAACAAAATGTTTTTTCTTCAGTTCTATTTCTGGAAGAGATTCAACATAGACAAGCAAATCAAGAAAACTCGTCAAAGAAATTCTTTGCATATGACAAGGTCAAATTTAGGAAGTTTTTACTAAATTTGAGTAAAAATTTTCAACACGGTAAAAAATTACATAATCAGAAGGGAAAAGATTTACTCACATGACATAAAAAGTTTGCAAGAGGGCCCTCCCTGGTGGTGCAGTGGGTTAAAGCACAGCACTGAGAAGTTAGAGCCACTTCAGCATGAGTTCGATCCCCGCCCCAGAGGTGACCCACAATGGCATGTCAGACCTCTCCTGACCAGCACGGTCCCCTCAGCAGTGTTCTTCATCACTCGTCCTGTTCTGCTCCCTGTCTCTGGTGAATCCTCTCACTGCCCCTGCACCTCTGGCTTGTACCCCATCTCTATATGCATAAATAAATCTAAAAAAAAAAAAAAAATCTGTATAACCTGTATATGGTTATCAGTCATGCCTGACTAAAGGGACAAATTCCTTTCTATAAAATATTTTGCAGAAATGTGTATGACTCATTCTTTCCTTATTAATGATTTGTCTGGAATAATGGAGAAAATAGGATTTTTCTCAGCCCCATTTGCTATAATAGATCCTGACATGAAACTGCTTTTATTTTATTCCCTTTAACAGAAACAGAAAATTACTATTTTTCCTAATTTTCAACCTATATTTTTAATATCTTTATGCATTACAGAAGCTACAATGATAAATTATACGAAAAATTAGTATTTTATTAAAATGTGAACTTTTTTTGGCATAAAACTTAGGTATAATTTTTAAATTTAGGTAATACTGGTTTATGACACTGCATGTGATTCAGAGGCGTAGGGTGACACCTTCTCAGATGCATGTGCTCATATTACAACCTCCAGGCACCCAGCATCCTTCACTGTTGCCCACTCTGCCCCACCTCACCCACAGTGCTTTCCTCCCCCTCTCACAGCCTAGGTCAGTATTCTAGGGTTTGTTACTGGTTGGGTTTTAGCTGATCCTTTGTTTTCTTTATATTCCACATATAAATGAAACCATCCAGTATATGTCTCTCTTTGATATTTTGCTTACCACATCTCTACAGTTCCATGTAATTGCAAGTGTCAAGAGTTTATCTTTTTATTAGAGCTAAGTAATATTTCATTGTGCATACATACCATATTTTTCTTTTTTGTGTAGAAGAGCTGGGGTTTAGGTGTTTGAGGGGTAGGGGCAGTGAGAGGATTCACCGGAGACAGAGTGGGGAGCAGAACAGGTGGATCTACTGAAATATACTGGTAAAGGGAGCAGCGGGTAAGACAGGAGAGATCTGCTGTGCCATATGTGTGTTAGCTCCCTGGCCAGGGAAATGAACTCAGGCTGCAGCACTAGCAGTGCTGAGACTTAACCCGTAGGCCACCAGGGAGGTCCTATACCACATTTTTCGAATCTACCCGTCTATCATTGGGCACTTATTGTTTCATTGTAATTAATGCTGCAATGACACAAATGTGTATTCATCACTTTGATTCATATTTTTGTATTCCTGGGGTAGGTACCTAGCAGTGTAACTGCTGGATCATATGGAAAATCTATTTTTTTAATATTTTGAGAACCCTCCAAAATATGGACTATTTATTATGAAGATATCCATGCAAACATCTTTTTAGGCACTGCATGATTAGTTACTCCTGTCCCCAAAACAATTGAAGATTATTTACTGAATGCCTACAGCGACCAAGTTCGGAAGATTTTAATAAGCAAGATAGCTGTAGTTGCTGTCCTCTACAAGACTGTCTACCTTTCTCTTCAAGTCTTTGAACAGCATTTGAGATGCTAACCAATCTACCTGATATCTTTTGATTTACTTACTTTGCATCCACGCCACCACATTTGCCTTCGAAGTTGTTTGGATCTGTTGCTAAAAGCAGTTGCATTATCCGATAAGCTTTCTATATCACATAGAGGATGGAGAGAAGAATTAAACGACATAACAGGATTCTTTTATCTAGTCACACAAAGACAAGAAAATATTAATTTCTACTTCTGCAAATTTATTCCCTTTCAAGTATAAGCATGAAAATAACATCCTCCCTTTCCTCCACCCACAAACTCTGGCATTCTATTTTGTTAATGGAGCAAAAAGCAAGATGAGGTTAAGGAAATCTTCCCAGAGCCTTAGTGCTTTCAAATAAGCTTATAGATTCTGATAAGAAAATACTCTTTAAAAATTCAAATACTCTGTACATCTATAGAAAAAAATGTTTACATGGTGAAAGTGTTAGATCTTAGAAGATACAAAAACAATTTAAGCAAAACAATAAATTTTAAGTGGCTAAGTAAAAAAACATGACTTAATGAGTTTTTTGGTTAGATAAGTTCTGTCAAGGATTTATCAGGAATTCAGTCATTCATCGTCATTTAAACAATTTGAGTGCCTACTATGTGCTAGGAACTGTTAGAAGTACAGAGACTAACATTTGTCAGTAAAGAAAGATTAAGTGACCAGAGAAAGCATAAGATGAAAACAGTAAATAACTCAAAGTGTTTATTTAGGAGTAACTAGACCTCTCTTTAAGGTCATGAAACTACATGTATATCAACATAATAAGTCAAAAGAAAATACTACTTCAACAATTTTTAAACTTTTCATTCTCAATGAAACAGCATAATTAAAAGTGAGCAAAATTAAAGCACAAAAATTATAAATTTAAGAACCAAACATTCAAGAACAAAATGCTATTTTCCTAAACCAAGATTCTTACACATTGGCTAAAAAGAGAAAAAAAAAAACCCAAAAACAACACTATCAAAACATAAATTCCTATCAATAAACCTAATTATCAATAAATTTAAAGTATCTGTACCTGATTTGTCCTGTAGTTCATCTAGTCTCTCCCCTCTTTCAATTACCTTTGTAATATTTTCTTGCATGACATCAATAACTTCATCCACCTGATTCTGAACACTAGTTTAAAAAAAATTAAGTTATTCTTTGGAGAATTTGAAAATTTTTGAAACTTTCAATTAAACATGATAGAAAATGAACTCTTAGAGAATTAATCAACTATAAAATTTTAAGGCTTCGTAGCAATGGTTTTCCACTGGGGGCTTGAGTACTCAGGTAATTAAAGACGATACAAATAAAAGTAATGATGAACTTAGTTTATTTTAGTGCTGTTTTTGCAAATTAAATTACTGTCACAATGCTCAATAACTGCTGGATTTAGTCAAACAGACTGACTCTAATAAGTTTTATTTTCAATAAGCTATTGAGGCATTATAGTTGCAACCTGCCTTAGCTGTGGTTCATACATTAAGATTAACAAGGTAGTCTACTCAGGTATGTTAGAAGCTTATGGGAAAATAGGTTTCCAAAAAGGAAATGTTTGTTAACAGTCTATGAGACAGTGGATATAACTCTGCATGCTATGAGTCTTCTCTTAAACAGTGTTTATTTTAGGAAAACTGGCAACTCTTGGAAGGTTTTTAAAGTGTCCATAAAGAAGGAAAGGGGAAAACTGTTTTGTTGTTAAATGAAAATGATTTCTTCTTTTATACTGGGTGATATGGACCTGTACTACCAAATTTCATACTATTCAATGAAGATTTAATTAAGTTTAAAAAACTAATAATTGGCTTTTATCTGCCAACTCTTCAAAAATTGCCATCAGAATATACAAAGTACAGAAATGTTTAGTTTTCCTGTTTCTCTAATCATTAGATAAAATTACTTTAAACTAATTTATGAAGTCATGCCAGTGAAATATTTAAAAGTTGAACTCATGCTTGTAACTAAAATTGTTTAAAATGCCCTTCATTACTAGCAGAATAGTACATTTCAGACTGTCTGAATTCTAGATATGCGTTTAAATGTATTTACGTACACGTTTTAAATAAGGATAAGCAATTGTTGCTTCTAGTTAGGAAGTGTGTTAACTATCACCTAAAGCACTTTTCACAATACAGACATACCTCTTCTTTGCCACCCACTGTAACTCCCCAAACTAACCTAACAAATTGGATTATTACATATGGACATGAATAATTTTGAAAAGGGTTCTCTTCCTATCAGTGGAGTTGTATCTTCAAAGTGTGTTTTAAAAACAAAATGCCCATTTTGACATCAGTAGGTTCAGAAGAATTCCCAGATTCAAGCATTAATTACTGTCATCTCCCTCCCATGTTAAAACCAGCAAGTATACCCACTAACTAATATATTTATAGTGTGGTATAACTAATATATAGTGTGGTATGTATAATACATACATACATACACACATCTATATACATATATATATATATCCCCCTATGCCACTATATATGTGTGTGTGTGTGTGTGTGTGTGTGTATACTCCTACGTACTACCCCATGCCATTAGGGAGGCCCCCTAACTAATTTAGAAATCAAAGCCTACATACACTATTTAGGCACTGGGTAAACTGAGTAAACAGTAAAGTAGGGTCCCTCTTAGCTGCAGGTCATAGTATAAAGAGCAGGCGCTCTGGATTCAGACACACTTGGTTTTACAACCCAGTTCTATCACTTACTATATATGTGGCTGTGCAAGTCTCTTTGAACCTCATATTTTCTCACCTTTAAAATGAAGATGATAATCTCTCACTTGTGATACTTAGATGTGACAATGTTTATTAAACACTTAGCACAATGTCTAACTTTCAAGCATGTGCTTAGCAGTGTCAGTACTCTTCCATTAAGAAAAATCACATTCTGGAGCAAACATTCCTTATTAAAGAAAATACTTTACTGTTAACACCCCCATCTTGTGGTCTTTGGAAGGAACTGTTGACATAAGAATTTTTATCTTATATTCAAAGCCATACACACACACACACACACACACACACACACACATTTATACTGTAGAACATTCTTTGGGGACCATTTAACTGGTTCAACACTACAGTTGGGAGAGTGTCTCTACCTCTGGCAGAGAATGAATTCACTAGAGTAGCAAAGGAAACATTCCAAAAATAATCAAATTTTGATGTAGATATGTGAATATTTAAAATCACTTCCCAAAACATTCTTCTTGAAAAGTAATATTAACAAGACCAACAAGGCAAAAATATTGCAGCCAATCAGTACCCTATAAGGAAATGTTATAATTTAGTGGTGATAACAAAACAAATTCACCAACCTTAGCATTTCGGTTACTGTAATCTTGGGTGTTTGTCCATGGCAAGCTGTGCTCTACCATGTCAGGTATCATGCCTGGTTAGATAATCCCAGGGAGCTGGCACATCTGGCTACTTCCTTTTCTTCTATCTATGTAACTAAGTAACTGTCTGAATCTAAGTGGCTCCATTCATCTGCACTGGCCAAAATAGACACTTGAAGCAGAAGAGACTCTTCTGTTGGCCTTGAAGAAACAAGAACCCCACATACTACAGCTGTAAAGACATGGATTCTGTTAACAACTACTGAATTTGGTCTAGAGCATCAATGAGATCACAGCCCTGGTGACACCATAACTGCAGGCTTGAGAGACCCTGCAGAGAGCACTGACCTAAGCAGTGGCTGAAATCCATTCAGACCCAGGGAAAAATGTGAGATAATATGGTTGATTCTGGCTGCTAAGTTGATGGTAACTTATTTACACAGCAGTAGAAAATGAAACACTATCTAGTATTCAATTTGTTGGTTCAGGATTTAGAATCCATGAGTGAAGATCAGGTAAAGTGTGGGCTACCTGACAAAAACCCAAGTATCTCAACAGTACCTAGATACCCCATTATAGTACCCTTTCCAAAATATGTCAATTGTATCCAGAGTTAGGGAGGCAACAAGCTCTTTGCAGATCCTGAACTTGGTAATTCAGTTTATTATCCATGGTTCCTCTCAATGGCTTAATCAGTTTTCTGGCTTTAACTGTTGCATCTATTCCTTCTTATCAGGATTCATATCCTTCTGTCATTAGATAAGTCACAACAGCACTACCCATCATATATTACCAATGATGTAGAAAACTTTAAACCAAAAATCAGCCATAAACTTAACAGTAAAGATAAAATTTCTGATAGTAGATAAAAGGTAGTGCAGTATCACTTTGAAAATGGGAATAAAGCTATACTTTACACCAAAGTAGATCTTATTGAGGCTAAAAACATTTGACATTAGGTAGCCAAGTTCAGGAAAACCAAAACTAGGAATTACATTTCCTTTGCTATTATTCAGAGGTAGCTGCATGAAATTAAAAATTACTGGGTTTTTGGGCCCTCCCTGGTGGCTCAGGGGGTTAAAGCACAGCACTAAGAAGCTAAAGCCACTTCAGCATGAGTTCGATCTCTGCCCAGGAGGTGACCCAAAGGATGCGGCAGACCTCTCCTGACCCGCATACTGCTCCCTCAGCAGTGTACTTCGTAGATCTGCCTATTCTACTCCCCACTCTGTCTTGAGTGAAGGCTCTCACCGCCCCTGAACCTCTGGCCTAGTTCTGTATGCATAAATAAATAAATCTCTGAAAAAAAAATTACTGGGTTTTTGAAACCCAGTAGTTACAGTAAGTCTACATCAAGATGCAGCAACATTTTTTTCTGTAAACATAGATATTTTAGATCTTTGTCATAATCATTCAATTTTTCCATAAGAAAAGTAGGTATAGCTGTGTCCCAATAAAACTATTCACAAACACAGGTAGCAACCAAATAGATTTGGCCCGATGCTTTATTTTACCAACCTGTCTTCTACAGAGAAATATGATAAATATGATAATCATTTGAACAAAGGACTATCTCAGGAACTTACTGCTTAATTTTATCATTTCTAGGTCCAAATCTTGGTCCAGACGGTCCCCTTCTGAAAATAAAATCACATATATATTAGTAATAAGAGCATTTAAAAAACTGAACACACACTCAAGCTGAATTATAAACATGGATTAGTCATTTGCCATAAGGAACCACACTTTACAGTACTGCTGAAACTGAATGATATACAATCATGTCTATATTTCATTGGTAGATAGTGCTGGAAACAACCTAATTCAGAGAATGTTACAACTTTCAGAGAAATTACGGCTTACATAGCCCAGCCCTTAGTTATATAGTTGTTTTACTCATTAAACTAACATAATAACTAAAGTGCCAGTGACTGAGTAGTCATGAACAATTCTGAGTAGCTTTATGGTCAATTATAAACATAGAATCATAAAAATAAACCATACAATTCACTTTAAATTTCAGCTGTGATGAAATGGTGACTATCAGTGATTGGTACAGAGAAAAAATTCCTTCAAAACTAAAATGTTTAAAGCTGCTCTTTGATGACTCATTTTAAATTTACCAGCATAGCAATGTAAGAGTCTATGAAAATATTAACATTAAAAAAGTATCATCTATTATAGTTAATAATAAATATTTAATAACTATAAATAATATATGTGCTTTTAATAGCTATACATAATATATAAACAATAACTATGTATGTATATAAAATATAACATAATAATAAATAAGTCATTTTAACCAAACCAGTTTAATATTCTGGAAGTAAAAATTTTGAATATTTGAATGATTATTCTAAAAATAAGAGTATTTGACAAAATTCAAAGTAGATTCTGTATCAAACACTAACTCCTCACTCCTACAACTCTCTGAACCTCTATTTGTTCTCTATGAACCATGACTTTGACTTACTTGAGGCACCTCATAATTAGCATCGTGTAAAATTTGTCCTGTTGTAACCAGCTTATTTCCTTAGCATAATTTCTTCAAGGTTCATCAATGTTGAACCTTTTAAGACTGAGTAATATTCTACTGTATGTAAATACTGTCTTTTGTTTTACCCAGTCCTCTGCAGGTGGATACCTGGATTGTATCCACCTTTTGGCTTTTGTGAATATTGCTACTATGAACAATTAATGTTAATTTTTAGAAATTATTTCAAGAATTTTGTCTCCCTTTCAGAACCACAGTGTATGGAAGTTGCATTTTGAACAAGTATGCTGAGCTTGTTGTCACACCCTTTGGAAAATGTACAGCATTATTTAGAAACTCCTGTTATACTGATCTGAAAAGCGCTGTTTGTCACACAAATATTAACTTACATTCAGGTAGTCACTTATTTAACCAAAAAACTTATTTTTGTTGTATAGAGTTCCTTCTTAATACATAGCTATTCTTGTCTGAGGCTTCTCACTGTCATTGGCATTTGTGACTATGGAAATCTTATAACCTGCAGGAAATTATCTTCCTACTTTATCTGACTTTTCTGTCAAAAAATAATTTCCTGGTTTTTGTTCACTGTTCCATGCTGCCAATTATTTTCTATAAAAAAGCCTTTACCAAAAAATTTACAACAATATTAGTAATAAATGTTTGTTCTTTGTCATATCTTCCACATCAATCTCGAGAGAAAAGTCCTATAAGAATGTTATCCTTCCTAATTTTGCAAATACAAATCAAGGTCTTTTTTGAGAACCCTTACTATCAGAGCTATAAAGGATTAATCAGGTCAATTAGACAAAGCAACAAGGCAATTCAATGTGGAAGGATGATCATTTCATCAGATGATGCATCAGATGATGCATCAATTGGATAGCCATGTACTGAAAAGTAGAATTCTTACCCTTATCTCAACCATACATAAAAATTAGCTTAAAACAGATTATATACCTAAATGTAAAAGTCAAAACTATAAAACTCCTAAAATAATCCAAAAAAATCTTAGTGACCTTGGTTGGGCTTGGCAAAAATTTCTTAAGCAAAAACTCTTTTAAACAAGTAATGGTGTGATTAAATTGGAGTGGTAGCAAATATTAGAATATAAATGACAAAGAACTGTCTATAAAAAAAACCTTTAAATTTAAAATTCAGCAAAAATATTCAACATGTAATTCATAAAAGAATGGCAAATATATATAAGACCGTCAACATAAATTTGTCATTAATGAAATGCAAATTAAAACCATGAGATCACTATACATCCAAGAGAATGGCTCAGATTACAGACTGAACATTCATAGTGTTGATGGTGAGGTTTCTTAGTAACCTCAATTCTCACACAATGCTGCTGGGAATATAAAATAGTAGACCTCTTTGGAAAACAGCTGTAAATATACACTGATCACTCTACTCCTAAGTATTATCCAAGAGAAAGCACATGAATAACAAAACCATGTAGCTATTGATAATAGCTAAAAACTAGAAATATCCCAACCATACATCAGTAAAACCTAAAAACCTACTGACACATATAATAGCATGGATGAATCACAAAATAATTATGGCTTGAGTGAATCAAATCAGTAAAGCATACTGTATGATTCTACTTGTAAAAAAAATCCTAGAAAACACGAGCTACAATTAAAGAATGCAGATCAATTGTCTGAGTACGAGGAGTAAGAAATTACCAGTGAATATGAGCAAACATCTGAGATGATAGTTATATTCATTATTTGATTTTGGTGCACTTTATAGGCATTTTATTCTATTTCAATTATACCCCAATAAAACTAAGAAACACTTACAGAAAAAAATCTTCTTCTTCATCTGAATCATCTTCCAAAAGATTTCTCTGTCAAAACAAGAAGAAAAACTCAGCTTTCAGAGTCTGAGGTCTTATAATCTACCAGAGAGGAATAATGAAACAAGTTCTATCCTGGTGAAATCTGAGTTCCAAATTTTGACACAAACCACATGTGCTACACTGTAAAATAAAAGATAGGGAGCCATGTTATCTGAACCACATTTGCATGCTCTTTAAAGAAAATGGTATCATAAATGCAAGAATTTTCAAACGGACAAGGGAGAAAGGTCACAGGGAACTACAGGCAACCATGAGACAGTTAAAAGTCCCTTCTCCTTTTGCCTTCTAATCGTCTTCTATGGGTAGAATCTAGTGGTAAGCCAGGTGGCAAAGGAGAAATGAGAGTGTGGAGGCCAACTCTGGCATCAGAAAACAGAGGTAGGGTTGAAGTTGCGAGACAGGGGCTTAATAATAGGCACAGTACCAAATTTTAGCAACTTAGTCCTCCAAAGGGGAAAATAAAAGATGAAATAGACCATAAAAAAGAACAAAGCCAGATCCTTCCAGTAAATAAAATCTCAAACAGCATATAACCTGTACCTTTGGGGAGACATCATTCCATGTCCTAACCCCTATAACCTATGCATGGCAAAAACTATGCAGACATAATTATGTCAAGGACTGCAATCAGATCATTATGGATTATTTGTATGGAACTAATGTAATTTTAAGAGTTCTTAAAAAGGGTAGGCGGAGGTGCCATTGAGGGAAATTGGAAGATGTTGCACTGTTGTCTTTAAAGATGTAAAAATGGGTCCAAAACAACAGGTAGCCTTAAAAGGCTAGAAAAGGCAAGAGTATAGATTTTCCTCCTGAAGGAACACAGCCCTGTTGGCACCTTGATTAGTTAGCCCATGAAGACCCATTTTGGGCTATGGGTCACCAGAACTGTTAGATAATAAAACATGTTAAGTTTGTAGTTTGTGGTAATTTGAAGCAACAGGACAGAAATACACTACCCATGTAACTTTCCTAAAGAAATTACTCAAATTATACCAGTCACAAAGAAAATTGAATCAGAACAAAGCAATTAAAACAGATTGATATGACCGATGAATCAAATATTATGTGTTGTGAAATTCAAATGGATGATGACAATGTGATCATGTGCCATAACTTAAAGAGTTATTGAAAAAGAAAAGGCATGTAAGGAAAAACTTTTAAGAAGTCTCACTGGTTTAACAAAATCCAGAATCTGGGAGTGGAAGTAAAAGCAGAGTTAACATGCCCATCTTAGTGGGTGGTGGAATACAAAGGACAAGTGGCTAGAATGAAAAAGTGAAACAATGGAAGGAGTATGGTTTCCCAGTTTGTAGGTAGAGAACACAGATGTAAACAATACTGTTGAAACATAGTTAAAAGAGAACAGAGGAGGGAGAAAAGAAGGATATATTTTTTTTTTAACTGCCTAGTGGGATGGAGAGAAGGAAAAATGATTTGAGAAAACATCGAGAAATATGACAATCTGTGTGCAAGAATATGTAATGGTAGAAAAATGAAAACAGCATTAATTCAAGTAAGTTTAACCTTTATATGCTAGCACTGCTAAAAATAATAAGCAATTGCTTTGAATGGACAGAAGAGGTATGAGCTCTAAGAGAAAGGTCAACTGAATAGTTGATAGATGCTATGTCGAGAATTATAACAGTGATGGAACAGAAACTGACAGGGTGACTACATGTGATTATGCTGTCATGGAAAATCATTCTCAAGAAATAAAATTTAAGCTGAGGTTAAATGATAACAAAGAGCAAGTAAAAAGCAGAGGGCAGAACATTCATTGTCATCAGAGGGAGTAGCTAGTGAAGGCAAAGCCCAAATACATTAGTTTTCATAATAAACATGAAGGGCTTAAATGCTTCCATTAAAAACAAAAACTGTATTAGAGTTCAAAAAATATATTTCAGTAAGTATCTTTACAAGAAATTTGCCCAAAACAAATATCAAATAAAGGATAACAAAAAGAGAGAAGATACATCAAATTCTAACAAAAAGGATGTTTGTATTAGCAATACTGAAATAAAGAGGAATTTTAGGACAAAGCATTACACAATCATGAAGAATTTACTATGATAAAGTACACAATCTACCAGAAGATTTCACAGCAATGAATATTTATATAACTAAAAATATAGCACCAAAATATACAACATTATAAGAAAAAAAATACATCTGAATCATAGGCAGGAATTAAATACACATGTTAGAAAGAGAAAGCAAGAAGACAAAAATAATCTAGAATTTTATATTCAATTTCAAATACCCAAGAAATGAATGTTATAAAAGAATTTTAATAAATTCAAAAAATTTAAGAAAAATTACTTAGGTAGGTCACATTCTCTGGCTATAAATGTAATAGAAGTTAAAACAAAAGAAAATTTTAAAACTTTTAAAACTTTTAACACATTAACACATTAAAATGAAAATGGATATTTAATAGACTATGTAGAAATGAATGACGCTGCAATCTTATAGCTCAAAATCTACAGTGTATGGCCACATCAGTACTTAAAGAAAAATGTGACCTTAAATATATTTGTTTATGAAATCACAAAGGTTGAATTAAGTATTTAACGCTTAAGATGTAGAAGTCATTCCTATGCAACATACAACCCCAAAAGCTTTAAAGAGAAAAATTCATGGATTTGATTATATAAAACAACATAAACATGGTTAAATACTTTCAGAAAAAAGGTCTGACATCTGTATTGTGTAAAGAACTATGACAAACCATAAGAAAAAGAAACATCATAGAAAAATTGTCAAAGGTTATTCCCATTAGAAAAAAAGGCCAATGATCATATAAGAGTAAAGTTGCTTCAAGTTAATAGTATTCAGGGAGATGGACTGATTCTTTCAGCAGAAGTTTCTTGAACACTATTCTAGGTAGTAAATAAACTATTGGTACATTTCTGATACAGCTTGTTTGCCTTAAAAGATGATATAAAGATTCAACATTTTTTTATGATAAAAAAGTTCGAGAAACAGGTGCAGGAGAAACATGCCTCAACAAATGAAGGCCCTATATGAGAAACCCATATTCAATATCACAGTTGATGGTAAAAAATTAAAAATGTTTCATTTGCGATCACCACCAAGGTCAACTCTCATCACTACTACCCAATATAGTGAGAAGTCCTAGTCAAAGCAGGATTCAAATTGGAAAGGAAGAAGTAACATTATTCTTGCAGTAACATAATATACAGAGGAAATCCCAAAGACTCCAGTAAAAAGCTATTAGAAGTAATATATAGGGGCTCTCCCTCCTGGTATAGGTGGTCAGGACAGCACTATGAAGCTATCCCCAACCCCGGCCGCACAAGTTCAATCCCCAGGCAGGGAGCTAACCCACATGACAGCAGACCTGCCTTGCCTGCTGTGTATTTTGTTCGATCTGCCTATTCTGCTCCCCACTCTGTCTCTGGTGAATCCTCTTACCCTCCCTCCCCATCCCACATCTTTGATATACAGCCCAGAAAAAAAAATCTTAAAAAAAAATAAACGACTACAGTAAAAATGGCAGGCTACAAAATTAATACACAAAAATCTGTTTGCAATCTGTTGCAAACTAGCAGAGTGAGAAATCAGAAAAAAAAATCCCATTTGCAACCATATCAAAAGAATTAAATACATTGGGATAATGTTAATGTAATAAATGAAAGACTTGTACATAGGAAACTCTAACACACAGAGACAAAGATATTCCATACTGAAAGAAGAGTTAACATTGTTAAAATGGTTTTATATTACCAATGCAATATACAGATTAAATGTAATACCTATCAAAATCCTACCAGAAATAAACCAAAAATTCATGAGATTTATTAAGAAATACCAAAGTCCCCAAACTGCAAAAACAATCTTGAATGAGGTTGGGTGAGAGTAGCACAGAAATGTTCCCTGAGACCAATGGAACAGAATTGAAAGCCAGAAATAAGCTCATACATAGATGGAACAAAATTTATGAAAAAAGAAGCAAGAGCTGATAACAGAGCCTGGAAAGTTTCTTCAGTAACAGTTAGAAAAACTGGATAGCCCCAAGGAAAAGAATGAAACTAGACCACTATCTAAATACTACCCACAAAAATTAACTCAAAATGAATTAGACTTGGATGTAACATGTGAAACCATAAAATACATATCCTCCTTGCCTAAGACATTAGTCTTAGACAAATCTTTGAGGACTTGATTCCATCAGCAAGGGAAACAAAAGCAAAAAGAAACAAATGGTACCACATCAAACTAAGAAATTTCTGCACAGTAGAAAACATTATCATCAAAAATGAAAAGACACCCTACTAACTAGAAGATACTTGTACACCATATACACAATAAGTGGTTAAATATTCAAAATACATAAAGAACTCAACTCAAAAAAAAAAAAAAAACCAGACTAAAAATGGGCAGAGAATAGGAACAGACACTTCTCCAAATAAGATACATAGATGGCAAATAAATGTGAAAAGGAAAAAAAAATATATCACCTCACACCCTTTGTGAATGGCCATCATCCATCAGTAAGAAACAAGTAATGACATGATATAGAAAAAAGGGAACCCTTGTATACTGTTGGTAAAAATGTAAATTGGTGCCGACATTAAAAGAAGTATGGAGATTCCTCAAAAAATTAAAAGTAGAAATTCTATATGATCCAATTACTCCACTTTTGGATATTTACCTGAAAGATACAAACATACTAATTGAGAGAAAGATATACTTGTTTACTGCAGCATTATTTACAACAGCCGAGAGATGGAACTAACCCACATGACCAACAGATAAACAGATAAAAGGATATGGTATATATACATACTATTACTATTAAAAAGGTAGGATAAATAATAATAAGATAAAATATTACCATTTGCAGCATTGTAGACTGATCTAGAGGTTACAAAATTTGGTGAAATAAATCAAGGTAAAGAGAGATACACACCATATGAGTTCATATGTGACATAGAAAGAAATCAACAAATGGATGAGCTAAAGAAAAGTAAAGTTTAAGATTGTAGGCAAACTGCGGCTATCAGATGGGTGGGTAAAGAGTGAAAAAAGAAGACAACTGTATGGTAAAGCACAAAGTAGACTTTAAGTGGTGAAATTAATGTAGTATAAAAACATGATTTTATAATGCAATGTTACTTCAATTAAAAAAAGAAAAAAATTCTGAATTTAACCGCATTTGGCTCTATAGTTCTGAATAAGCTGTGTACTTTACAAAATTCTCTCTGAAAAACTAAACAGAAGTTGTAAGCATAATTTGACAATGAAAATAGAATTCAGCTGAGTACCAATCTAAGTGACATATTTTTTAGTGTTTTTACAATGAAGAAAACAAATAGAATATAGCAATAAGTCTGAGAATTTTCAAAAACACATTAAAAAGGAAAGAGAAGCATTTTTTCCATCTTTCTCTTTTAAAGCTTACAATTCTGAACTTACCCTTTCACTTTTCACAGAACCAGTAACATCATCATCATTTAGGTGGCGTTTGAATTTAGGAGGCATATTTTTTACTCAAGAAACACTTCTCTATTTCTCAGAATATGTATTCACCACCTTAAAGAGAAAATAAATTTAATCAGATTTGACACTTTGGGGTTTAAGTTAAAGCCCTTTGGAATATAAGGTCCTATATGATAAGACCCACCCACCTCCTCCTCCACTTTTCTGACTTCACCCACTCCCTGCTCACTTGCTACACTCAAATTTACCTGGCCTCTACGCTAGAACTCAGATCTTTGTAGTTAAAAGTGTGAGAAAATGGATGTTACCTTCTTAAAAGAATGAGGTTCTTAAGGTTTTTGTTTGTTTGTTTTAAATAAAATCAAAGAACAGATTATATAGGAGAGGGGGGTAAATGATAAATTTTATTCCTCTAAAATTGGCATCAAAATCGGGATATCTTTAGTTTGCTCACTTCCATTTACTACACTAAAATGAGTGGTTAGATTTCCTCACTGCATGGACTTGGGATGGTCAAATCAAGTCCAAGTTAAAAACATACTATAAACTCTACAGAAAGCCCTGTTTTAAAGCATAGTAATAGCGTTCCCACCAAAAAGGAATATAGTTTGGCAAATACTAGGTTGATGAAATGTCTTTTTTCTTTTCAAAATTTTTTTGCTACAGAAAGTCTTACAGTTTTTTATGTGCTAATATGCACAGTGGTTTTCAGGAAAATGCTTAAGTATGCAACATGTTCAAAACTTTCTTGAGAAAAAGCTGACATAGCACATGACAGTTAAGTATTTTGGATTAAATGGTAGGTGAAAAATGAGAATCACTAAAATGTACTGAATGACTTACTATGTATAAAGTACTGTTTCAGTGATTTCAACACATACCCTTTTACTCTTTTCTATATACTATATTTTACTCTTTTCTATATACTCCTTTGAATTGGACATCAAGAAACTAAGAAAGCTAAGGTTTAGTTAAGTAACAAAGTGTTATTTACTACTCAGTAAAATGTAGAAACCAGGCTTAAATTAATCAATATCTGTGTGATCAGTTTCAATATTTGTTCAATTAATTGTTCATCAGCTTAACCAGTTCTATTCAGAAAGACCACTTTACTATAGTAACCCAGCAACCCTCTTTTTGCTCTTCCACAAGAAAAACCTCTAAAACCTTAAAATTAGGAATAATTACACATCAGGTTTTTAAGTTAATATTGTACACTAAAAAACAAAAACAAAAACCCAGAATTCAACTTCATAAACCAAATAAAAGTAATATTTTAAGTTGGCTACTCATCAAAACAAATTGATAGATACTTTAATAAAAAAAATGCTTCAGGCCCTCCCTGGTGGCGCAGCGGGTTAAAGCGCAGCACTGAGAATCTGAAGCCACTTCCGCATGAGTTGCATGAGTTCGATTCCCGCCTGCTGCCTGCCCCGGAGGAGACCACGTGGTGAGCCAGACCTCTCCTGGCCCGCCCCGCTGCTTCCCTCAGCAGTGTACTTCGTCGATCTGCCTGTTCTGCTCCCCACTCTGTCTCTGGTGAAGCCTCTCACCGCCCCTGAGCCTCTGGCCTGTACCCCAGTTCTGTATGAATAAATAAATAAAACTTTAAAAAAAAAATGCTTCAAACCAGAAACTTAACAATTTGTAATAAAAAACAAAAAAACCCCAAATTTTTGTAGGCCTCCCTAGTGGCACAGGAGAGTCTTAGCAGTCCAAGTTATCACCAGCCACTGCAGCATAAATTCTGTCCCTGGCCAGAGAGCTGACCCACAGGGCACAGCAGACCTCTCCTGTGTCATCCGCTGTTCCCTTCAGCAGTGTATTTCAGCAGATAAGTGTGTTCTGCTTTCCTCTGTCTCTGTCTTCCCTCACCTTGCCCCCTTGCACCTCTGGCCTACCACCTTGTTCTTATAAGCATAAATAAATTTTTTTTTAAAGATTTATTTATTTATTCGTACAGAACTGGGGTAAGGCCAGAGATGCAGAGGGTGAGAGGACTCACCAGAGACAGAGCAGGGAGCAGAACAGGCAGAGCGACAAAGTATACTGCTGAGGGGAGCAGCGGGCGGGTCAGGAGAGGTCTGCCTCGCCATGTGGTCACCTCCGGGGCAGGCAGGGATCGAACTCATGTGGAAGTGGCCTAAGCTTCCTTGTGCTGTGCTTTAACCCGCTGCGCCACCAGGGAGGGCCATAAATAAATTTTTAAAAATTCTATTTGTCATAATTCTAGAATTCTTCCTTTTATAATAGCTCTGTCCAGTGCATCCTTCCATTTCACTTCCTCATACTGTGATTTCAGACTGATGCATTCATGGAGAGGAGAGAATGCCATAGGAGACAGAAAATGATAGGGTGCTGACACTGGAGCATTGGTGGAGAGTGTGAATATAAAGTTATATCCCCCCAAATTATAGTTATGTAAACTAATGGCAAATCAGTAAAACAAAACAAAGAGTAATGTAGTCATGTAGAAATATTACAGAGTGCATGGAAAAACAGGTGACAAAGGGAGAAAATGAAGAGCTTTATCTTTTAATTACAACTGTATTTTACCTATATTACAAATCCACAGATTCAACATCCCAAAGCAAGTAAAACAGAGTAGTTTCCCTCTCTCTCCAAAAGAGTCAGAAAGCCTTTTCTCAGTATGTCCAGAGTAGGCCTCCAGTGACCATGGTACGAAAACTAGAGGTCTGTCAGGGCCCAATGAGCACTGGGGAAGTCCATTACCCTTACTTAAGAATACTTACTAAAGGTTAGGAGAAGCTTCTGTCCTTATGTAAACCCTTTGCCACCCCTAATCAAACAGTTACCTAGAAGAATGTAGTTTGGAGGTTTATCATGGGAGTTCTTCACCAGTGAATAGATCCCCTATATCTAAGAATCTCTTTTTAATTTTCAAGATAAGGATACCTTCCCCCCTTTTCTGTCATGTCTCTTCTCTTGGTACTCCATGACCCTAAACCTGTTGCGTTTCATTATTTCTTAGAATTTACAACCATGTAAATTCTCCATTTGTATTCAAATAGATTCTTTGCTTCACCTGGTGCTGTTTTGACAACTTGTCTAGTCAGAGAAGAACCTGGAGGCTATCGGATAATTTCCTTTGCACCCAAAGACTTACAAATTTATGAAACATATAGTAAAGCATAAACATATAGTAAAGCATAAACATAAAGTAAACCCCATATTCAGCTTCCATAATCTAAGGATTAGCCTCATAAAAGCAATAAACTTGTGTCTGACAACAGAAAAACCATCAGCAAAACAGCAGGGAGATTAACTAAACCACAGTGTAACTAACTAAAGTTATCTATGTCAAACAACTAGTAGAAATAAAACGCTCAGAAATTAGATTGTATATACTCTTAAAATTTCTCCTGTAAAAAAAGACATACGCGACCCTCCCTTGTGGCGCAGCGGGTTAAAGCACAGCACTAAGAAGCTTAAGCCACTGCCGCATGAGTTCGATATTCGCCTGCCCCGGAGGTGACCACATGGAGGTGACCACATGGCGTGGCAGACCTCTCCTGACCCGTCCCGCTGCTCCCCTCAGCAGTGTACTTCTACGATCTGCCTGTTCTGCTCCCAGCTCCGTTTCTGGTGAATCCTCTCACTCTCTGCATCTCTGACCTGTACCCCAGTTCTATATGAATAAATAAATCTTAAAAAAAAA